GCGTGTACCCTAGTGGCTGGTTTACTAAAAACTTATCTTTATTTGTCATTGTGACACAGAGCACACCATGCACAACGAAATCGTCCTCAAGCAGTGCTTGAGGACGATGTCATGCTCAGTGGTAACCTGGCAGTTGGTGGATTCGAACCTGGGGCCTTCCAGACCAAAGTCCGCTTCCTTTACCACTAGGCCACCACCACTATGGAACCTAGTACTACTTTTAAAAATAGAAGACTGAAGTATTTTCATGCTGTGACTTTCTAGTGCGTGTTTTCTTTTCTGTAGCTGTAGATCGACTTTAGATCGTATGTCATACTTTTCAAACATGACTTTCCTGTCACTCCTTTCCAAGTTCTGTACTGCTATTTCTGTTGTCTGGAAATGTTGGTTGCAGTGTGCAACTCGGATTACATTTGGAGCAGAAATGTCTTTGAGCCCCTTGTTGGTCAATTAGGATTTACTCACAAGAATGTTATGAAAACATTTCCCCCCTTTTTTTGTACCAGGAAACTGCTATGTTAAAGCACCATTCCCACTATTAATTCACTACAGCCAAGACCATATGTACCAGTATTTTTAATTGGTAGGTTATGACCCAGAAAATGGATCATATATAATTTCAAGTGGCTACAATTATCAGTACAATATTTGCCTAGTTCAGCAGCTAACTTTTCCAAGGGTTCAAGTGTCACATCTACCTCTTTTTTTGAGCTACACCATGTCAGGCTGAGGCCAGTCAATATGTCTTTAACAAAGACATAAGAGTCAGATTAGCCCAAAAAAGTTTTTATGACTATCCGATATGAAAAAGAAAAACCCAATACAAAACATTGAATACTAATCAGACTTTTCTTACAATTTGAGTTTATTTAAAGAAAAGTAAAATTTACTTCCTAAAAACATTTGGTCCAAACTGTAGTATGCAAATGTTGTAAAGTAGGCTGTGGCCTAAAACAAACATTTGAAAACCAGTGCTCTGGAAGAAATGTATTTAGGTAAAACAAATCCCCACATACCATGTAGAATACCCCCTATTGAAAAGTTTTTGTGCTCTTAAATTATTTTTAACAATGTTTTTTATTTATGTTTGTTGTACGTGTCCACAGTGAAGCTGAGCTTTTCTGATGCTGAAATGTGCTTTTTCTTTCTTTCAGATTAAAATAAAGGTATATCTTGCATATATATATATATATATATATATGTAAAATAATACTAGTCACGTGGTGTGGTTTGTCTGTGACCTGGTTCTTCCCCCTGTGTGTTCTTCCCTATTTTTAAAACCATAAAAACTATTATACAGTTGAATGCTCTAAATACAAACGTGCAGCTTCTACAAAGTCGTTCTTTTCAGGACTCTGTATTGGCTTCAATTTAATTGTAAAACTTTATTCCCATTAAATTGTATCTCATTTGGAAGATTTTTACATTTTTATTTTTTTCTATTTCTCAATGTAAAAGAAAAACCAAGACAGTATGTCACTGTGGTGAAATCTTAAAAAAAAAATAAAAATCCAGAAATACTGTACCCTGCTGATGTTTTAGTGAATTAGCCTGCATGAAGATCTTTAACCAGAGTGCACTGCATCATCAAGAAACAAGTGTTGACTTGGATATGACGACAGCGTGAACATGAGAGGACGCGTTTGAGAGATGTGAAAAGAAGAAGAAGAAAAATTGACACACAGGAAGTAGGAAGTATAATGTGCAATAACCTTAGCGTCTATGTTAGAGTGTGTATCATGTCTGACTGTGTGTGAGTGTGTCTGTGTGTGTGTGTACTCCACAGGTGTCGAAGTGTGTGATGAACCACTGACCTATGCTGATACAAGTCCAGGACCATGTCTCTAAAACTACCTCGTAACTGGGACTTCAGCACCTTCAAGGCTGAGACGAGTCGTATTGGTGAGACACACTGACACAGACAGAATGCTGCCTTCACTGTCAGCCCAGAGACAAGTCTCTGCTTTCAACTTTTACAACCTTAAAGGGATGTGAACATTCTACTTTTCTGTGACAACACAGAGACCAGATTCTTACTACTGCTTTTTGTACTGGTCTCTACTGTATCCTCTACTGCACACTGAGTATGCTACTCAATGAGCTACTACTATACAGTCTGTTGCAAGTGTTGGTTTTGTTGTTGAATGAAAATGTGGTCTAGGGTCTTTTCAGAAAATCAACTAAGGTCACATTTGTTAACTACTAGATCTTTACTATTTTCTTTGCTTTCGCTGACTCAACTACTTTTGCACATTGCATATTTATAATTAGCGACATATAGTTCCCACTATCTTTTGTTAAATGTGATCTATTTCTGTTTCTAGTCTTCAGTCATCCATTTGGTTAGCCTTAGGTCAGATTTTCTGTTGGTAATTTCTAGTTCTATTTTTTAAATCTGTTAGATGTTTTTTATGTACTTCAAGCTATTTCTGATGCACCCTTTGTTGTTTTGCCCTAAACCTACAGCTATATTTAGCTAATTTTCTGTTTTTTAATTTTTGACATTTCACAAAGGCAAGGCAAATTTATTTATACAATGCATTTTATGCAGGAGGTAACTCAATGTGCTTTACTTTAATGGACACTAATTGTATTGGAAAGAGACAAATAAATTGAAAAATCAAAACAAATACGTACAGTAACTAAAGAATAGAAGGAAATGAGTAATTATTGTACAATAGACACACACAAAAAAATAAAAATTTTCATATTCACATGCTGAAGTTGACTTCAGTTGTGGTCTCAGTTTGTTCCGCTTGTGTGCAGGATAAAGTCTAAATGCTGCTTGTTTCAAACTATGGGCTCCACTAACTGGTCTGAGTGGAAAATAAAGTGTAGATCTCAGAGCTCTACTGGGTTTATATCCCATTGATATTACCAGCAGAACAGATGTATAAACTACTTCCAAATATCCTTCTATTTATCATACAATTATATTTCCATGCCCTACTTAGGAAGTTATCATTTTATTTGTTATTTATACTTCTAGAATCCTCAGTAGCCGGATAGCATTAGCACCACTCCACTCAGTTATGAGTAGATCAGTGATTTGTGACCACACTGGCTTGCACTTTTGCTTTAATTAACCCCAAAGATAAACTTATAAATTACATCCTCAACTCAAATACTTTAATTGCTTTCCAAGAAACAAAAATGGTTTTGGTAAAAAAAAAAAAATCATGTTTTTGGTTTCTTTCTTTTTCTTTTTTTAAAGGAAGTGGTAACTAAAGATGAACATAGAGTAAAAAAGAAGGAGTACTGCAGATAATAAACATTAGACATAAACATCAATTTGTGACCGGGAAATACTACACTCATGAAAGCTAAAGAGTCCCATACAAGGACAGAGAAAACTTTGGATAAAGCAGCAGTCAATGCTGACTCCTTTCGACTCTACGTCCCAGAATGAAGGTCAAGCCTAATAGTGTAGTGGGCAGCACTCCTGCCTCTGAAGCAGAGAGCAGAGAATCCTGGGTTTGATACCCAGAGGAACCACATGGTACCTGCTGGGGGCAGCCTGTTAACAGCATATCTGCTGCTAACACAATTTCCCAATTATGGCAGCAATATAGTACAAATTTTATTTATTTATTTTTAATGACTGACAGCTGTAGAAGCCTTTCATCATCAATCTTTTACCTTTAGAGGCAGATTATAGGGAGTGGAAGTTCAGTGACGCAGGCTGTGTGCAGGAAACTGATGCAAGAACCGAGCTTCCACAGCCCTGATGTTGTTGCTGACTGTAACTTTACCTACTTCTGCAGTATCTGCGGGTGTGCACATCGTGATGCAAGTGCAACAATGGACACAAATAAGTTAAATCTGCTTTTTTGCATTGTGTTAAAAAGAAAAAATGACACAATTGTTGTATGGCCCAACAAACTATCTTAGTGTGTTCAGCATTGCACATTAAAAGGTTAAGAGGTTAAAATCAGTCAGGAACTACAGAAGATGTTTTTGCTCTGAGAGTACTGGCCATAAAGTTTAGAAAAGGTGGAATGCACCTTTGAAGTTCTACAGACATGTCAAGATGTCATAAACTGTGTGTTTGTCAGCCCAGGGTGTGGTGTGTCACTTCTAGTGTATGCATTTTGTATTTCCTCAAAAGCAATTTCAAACTTTTCACAGCACTTATGTAGGAAGCACAGAGTTAGATCAAAGAACCCTGAAGCTTCTTAGATGGAGGCCTTCAAAGCATGGTCAGTCCTGTGATGAATTATGTCAGAGCTTCCTGTTTTTGAGACCGTAGATCATCTGTTATCCTCGACTATCTAGTCGAGAAAGACACGCTGGATTAAAAAAACCACTGAACAACCGAGGCCTTATCTTAGTTCCTCTATCTGTGCCACTGTGCCTCCCTTATTTGTTTATTTACATCTGTGTGATGTTGTGTTCTCTGGTCATATTCCCTGGTCAGCCTTTAACAGTCACTGCAGAAAGATCTAACGACAACATAAAATGACCAAAGAAGTCCTAAAAATATAGGTGCTGCAAATGTATCTTCATCATGTAGCTTATTAACTGTCACGATTGGCCATCGACATGGCAGGAAGCAGGCAGGACCCAAATGCAGGACTGGTGCAGGTAGTTTATTTCAAGATTCAAACCCCCCCCCAAAAAAAAAATCAGGACAGAAGCATAGGCAAAGTCGAGCAGAGCTGAGAACACGAACAGAGTTGACAGACAGACACTCACTCATCTCACTCATCCCACTCATCCCACTCATCCCACTCATCCCACTCATCCCACTCATCCCACTCATCCCACTCATCCCACTCATCCCACTCATCCCACTCATCCCACTCATCCCACTCATCCCACTCATCCCACTCATCCCACTCATCCCACTCATCCCACCAGGCCAGAGTGAGGGAGAGGGGTATATATACAGGGAGCACCAGGTGACATAGGTGAGGCTAATTGCAGACACAGGTGAGTGTGATAACTGATTACCGCAGACAGCAGGAACAGACAGACCTGACAATTTACATCTAGTTGTTAATGTGTTAAGAATGATGGGCACTAAAGTGGCATTGGGCATATTAGCAGTTTCTGGCCAAATTTAAAGTGTTATGTTTCCAGTCTATGTGAGCATTTAAGCTCAAAGTCACTGACCTTTAAGTTTTATTGTTCAGCATTCATTGTGTTACATTTTGGTCACACAAAAATCACTGCTGATTTGATACAGTGTCCACAGGAAACCGGTCAGCTTTGACCTGCAGTTTCCATTCTGTCGGAGTGTAAAAATATACAGCAAGTAGGTCTTCCTCCAGTGATACACACATGCATGTAAAGCAGGAAGTGCTCTCTCTCTGCAGCTGAGCCGAGCAGCTCAGTTTGTGACATTGCATGCTTTCTGTGGACTGGTTGTTTTTGAAATATTTTTTGCCCAGCTGCTGTTTTGTTGTATCTTTCTGTTAGCAAGTTCCAAGAGTGTGATGCCTGGAGTAGGCGGCACCACCCAGGGCCCACCGTGCTTCTCCAAGTCCATGGAAAAACCAGTGAAGGCTGGATGGCTGAAGAAACAGAGGTCCTTGGTCAAGAACTGGCAGCTGCGCTACTTTGTACTCAGAGGAAGTACTTTGACCTACCACAAAGATGGCAAGGAGTCTACAGTACAGGTCAGACACTGAACATGACATGGTGGCTTTATTACTATTATTATTGTTGTTGTTGTTATTGTTAGTAGTAGTAGTAGTGTTATGGATTCCCAATCACAGTAAATAGGACCAAATTGCTGGAAACGATCTTCAGTCAATCAGCACAGTTTATTTACAAAAGTACAGTGATTTAATCCATGACAACGTGGACGGTAAAGAGTTGCTCCGGTGCAAATGAGGTGACTCCAAACAATTTCACCCACACACGTGTTTCTCCCAAGGGCGTGAATCCCACTCCTGCATCAAGCAACAAAGAAAAGGAAGTTATCCACTAGGAAACTTTTGACTATTGACATATAATGAGAGCCTCATCTCACCACCAATTGAGCGTACAACACTCTGGCGCTGATCCTCTGGCAGGACGGACATTAAATACTCCCTCCGTCCTAATTGGGAGTGCCGGCAGGTGCACGCCATCACCACCAAGCCAAATCACCATCTGCTGACAGTGGGCATACACCCACACCAAGAAGCCAACCACCACAAGTAGTAGTAGTGGTGGTTGTTGAATCCATATTAAAGTAATAGCAAGTTAAAAGTATAAAAGCTAGAGTAACTAATAATACGCTAAACAAATACATGAAACATGGCCACAAAGGTAACAATATTGGCTTGTTATTATGAAACAGATTACAAAATATTAGCCAAGACATGGCTAATATTTTTGTGGCCAGCAATAATAGCAGCTGCACAGTAGCTAAAGGTTGTCTAGATCACCACATCAAAAGTAACCAATAAATAGTCAAATGTTATCATGACAAACAGCAGCAGCAGAGATAGCTTTGAAGGCATCACAACACTGATGAAAATGAATCACGCAAAGTAAACCAACCTGTGCTGTCAGAGCAGTCACTTCAGAAAATGTGGTCAAAAAATTTTAATTTTTTTAACTAAATAACACTGCAACACAACAAAATAATGCTAAATTTTATTTATCTATAAATGTGCGTTTTGTAGACTAACCAATCTAGTCTCAACTTTGAGATCCCTTTTTTCAGATAATTTTAATTATGCTCATATTAGATGCATCAAAACTAATAAGTTATAACCCAATAACAACATTTTCTTGGGTAAAAACTAAAGTTGTGTGTGTGTTTGCAGGGGGCCATCCAGCTGCGGTTCTGCAAAATTAATGAACTCCCTCCAAACTCAGACGACTCTGGAAAATACCTGTTTGAGATTGTACCACGTGAGTATTTGTCTAAAATTTTAAAAATATTTTTTCAGTTTAGTGTAAAACAGCTATTATACTGCTACCTTTGTGGTAATAAGGGCTGGTTGATGTTATTTGTAACATACTACTCAACAGCAGTGCTCAGCAATAGGAGGAAAACACTTCTCATCTTGTTGTTAAAATCAGGGGTCTCAAATTTAAATGAGCTGGGGGGGGGGGCGCTGTTGCCCCGCTCTCTGTATCAGGGGGTGAGATTATATTATACTGACGTCTAATTGAGGGCCGTGGTCCAGGAGTGGTCCTCAGGCTGGGGGTTTGAGACCTCTGTTTTTACAGGAAATTAACCTGCACAGCAGACAGGTCAGTCTGTTAAAATGTGAAGGTGAAATAACAAGATATAAAATTATTTTTTTGCTTCCATTTGTTCAGCAAGTAAATAAACTTGATTTGTTTTGGAAAGATTATATAAACTGTTGAAAATCTACAACTAAACTGAAACTTACTTATTGAACTTATTTTACAGGCTCTACCATCGACAGAGAGCGTTGTCCAAATGTGTTTATGGCTAACTCCCAGAGTGACATGGAGGAGTGGGTGCGCACTCTGCGCAGAGTCGTTGGAGTGCAGACGAGTGGAGGTTTGAAAGTATTTTTTATCCTACAGAAGTTGTTGTAATAACTGAAATACTGGATCTACTTCTTCAGATACCCAACAAATACTGCAGTTTGTAGTGCTTTAACATGAAAATGTAGAAACAGAGAGCAGAGAAATTGTATAGCTAGATAAAGGATAGACTGATGAATGGTTGAATGGATGGATGGAAAATGGATGGATGGATTCCTTTCTTTTTCACCTTCCAATCAAGACCCCATTGGAGGTGTACACATACTCTAGACACTTTATCAGGCAGACTTTCTTACATCTCTGCCGTGATTGGAAAGAGTCTACTAGACACTGTGACCTACGAACAGCGTTTTGGACCCTGTATGGTACCCATCCTGGTTCAGAAGTGTGTGGAGTTCATTAAAGCGCACGGACTGGACGAGGAAGGAATCTTCCGTCTGCCCGGACAGGATAATACTATCAAACAGTTCAGAGATGCCTTTGATGCAGGAGAGAGGCCATCCTTCCCCAGGTTAGATACTGTAATCACCTGAAGATGGGTTATAACCAAGTAGGAAAGAGAAGGACAACGAGAAGGTAGATGAGGAAAAGCCAAAATTATCAAAAAACAAAAACTAACTTTAGTAAAGCAGGTCAAGTCATCAACAGGTCAGTGTTTTGCAGAGATAGTGATGAGACATGAGTAAGATAAGGATTTCTTCTTGCTCAGAGCTGACTACCACACCACATCCTGTGCTTGCAGGATGTTTGAAGGTTGTCTCATTTAACATCATGGAGTCTTCTGACAGAGTGTTGCTTTTCTAAACTTCTAATACTTTTCACCTTCATTTAACTGTAGTCTATTAAATGTAGTGACCTTCATCAGGTGGAGGTGGTTTTTAAAAAGGTCATAAATTTCTGTGTAAGTTTTAGGGAAGGGACATTCACGTAGATAGAGATGTGCTGTTTCTGACTGTTGTTTTAAAACACTCATTACACTAGCAAAGTACACTGCCTGGCCAAAAAAAAAGTCGCCACCAAAAAAAAGGGTCATACACTCTAATATTTCGTTGGACCGCCTTTAGCTTTGATTACAGCACGCATTCGCTGTGGCATTGTTTCGATAAGCTTCTGTAATGTCACAAGATTTATTTCCATCCAGTGTTGCATTAATTTTTCACCAAGATCTTGCATTGATGATGGTAGAGTCTGACCGCTGCGCAAAGCCTTCTCCAGCACATCCCAAAGATTCTCAATGGGGTTAAGGTCTGGACTCTGTGGTGGCCAATCCATGTGTGAAAATGATGTCTCATGCTCCCTGAACCAGTCTTTCACAATTTGAGCCCGATGAATCCTGGCATTGTCATCTGGGAATATGCCCGTGCCATCAGGGAAGAAAAAATCCATTGATGGAATAACCTGGTCATTCAGTATATTCAGTAGTCGGCTGACCTCATTCTTTGAGCACATACTGTTGCTGAACCTAGACCTGACCAACTGCAGCAACCCCAGATCATAACACTGCCCCCACAGGCTTGTACAGTAGGCACTAGGCATGATGGGTGCATCACTTCACCTGCCTCTCTTCTTACCCTGATGCGCCCATCACGATGGGTCCCCACTATCCTTCCAGTTTTTAATAATGCGTTGGACAGTTCTTAACCCAATTTTAGTAGTTTCTGCAATCTCCTTTGATGTTTTCTCTGCTTGTTGCATGCCAATGATTTGACCCTTCTCAGACAGACTAACATCTTTCCCACGACCACGGGATGTGTCTTTCGACAGGGTTGTTTAGGAAATGAGAAGCAACTCATTGCACCAGTTGGGGTTAAATAACCAGCTGTTGCCAGCTGAAAGATAATCGCCCATGCAGTAATTATCCAATAGGAGGCTTCTACCTATTTGCTTCGTTAAATCCAGGTGACGACTTTTTTTTTTGGCCAGGCAGTGTATTTTAAGACTTAAAAGAACTAACTCTAACAGATCTTCTCTGGATTCGTCTTGATGCTAGCTTTTTTTGTCTCGCTCTGTGTCTGGGGTTATATAAGAATTGTGCACAGGGCTCCTTGGAGGCCATCACTTTCAGAACTCTTTGTTTTACTTTGTACCGAGGATATGGCAATGGTTTTGGTTTCCAGTTCACTCAAATGTCACATATCACATATACTTTTGCTCTACTCATGTTTATTTTATAAATGCAACATCATTGCACAGAGAAACTCGCTTTTTCTTGTTGTGTATGACAGTTACTTTGAATCTTATTCAAAGTAACTAATACACTGTAGTTTGTTGTCACATTTATGAGCACATTTCCTGCACACTGCACTTTTTCCAGTAAAGACTTAAGTCCTGGATAATTTTGCATACACAGTTGCAACATCCCACAATAACAGCCAAAGTCACTCATAAGTGATTTAGCTGGGAAAAATGTATCTTGCCAACAATCACGTTCAGATCAACTTTTGTTCTCAGTTAAATGTACAAAATATAGCCTCAAGGTCCAAACAGTCAATTATTGCCAAACAACAAAGGATGAAAACTGTGTTTTTAAGCCAGAGCTCAACACAGATGAAAGTTCCAAATTACACCAGAACATGAAAAAAAATATATACAGTATTTTCATTTAATGTTTTTTAATGGGATGCTGGTCTATTTGTGTTATGTAATTCGTTTTAAATAAATCTGATTTTCTTTGTTTGCCTGCAGTGATACAGACGTCCACACGGTGGCGTCATTGCTCAAGCTGTACCTGCGAGAGCTGCCAGAGCCAGTGGTGCCCTGGACTCAGTACCAGGACTTTCTGGATTGCACTAACATGCTGGACTGCAGCAGCACAGAGGTGTGTATGTGTATGTGTGTACATTTGGCACAGTACCTAATTAAATATACTAATTGATGGACAGATGTTTTTAACAAAGCATTTTTTTGGAAAATATTTCTTGTGAAATTATTTAAATATTATTAGCAGTAAGGATTTTACAATCCTCTCTTGACTTTCATCCACCATCAGACCTTCAACTTTGCTTCCTGTCTGTGTCAACTTTCTTCAGGATATTATATAGTTTTAAATGCAGGGAAATAACCTTTGCCTTTGTAATATTGTAAAATAACCAGGACAGAAATAAATAAAAAATCTGAAAAATTTGTGTCATGTGATTACAGCTACGACATGACACCACGGTCCAACAGGAATTTAGCAAAGCTTCACCCATAACCCTCCAACTGTAACATTACTGTAACTGTAGGCAGTACATTCAATTACTCTAAATGTCTAAGTGCTTGAAATCTGACACACCTGACTTTCAAATTGAGTTAATGAAATGTTCTCACATTTGTGTGAGTGTGTTTGTGTGTGCATGTGCGTGTGTGTGCGTGCATTCTTTCAGGGTTGGGAAAAGTTAGAGAAACAAATCTCTCTTCTCCCCAGAATCAACTACAACCTCCTCAGTTATGTGTGTCGGTGAGTAGGAGCTGCAGCACAAAGCATTCTGGGACACAGTTCAATGATCATTATGTGGGAATAATACGTTTAAGTGACTCCTGTTTTACTTTCTCCCCAGGTTCCTGTTTGAAGTGCAGCGGCACTCTGCAGTGAACAAGATGACTGTGGAGAACTTGGCCACAGTGATGGGAATCAATCTGCTAAAACCTCAGATTGAGGATCCCATTACTGTGATGAAGGGTGAGAACACCCTCCTCACTCACATCCCCTAAACAAGCCTGTCACAGTCACCACACCACCCAAGTGTGGGTTCATAAAACATTCATGATCTCACTGGTTTACTTTTGACTTTTTGTGAATCTCATAATTTGGTTCAAACTTGATTTTACTTCTTTAAAGCTAGAAAATAATTGGAATGTGACTGATTTAAAAAAAAAAAAGAATATCAAATGTGAATGCCAACAGGGTTAAAAAATAACCCTGACTTGTTTGTAATTGGTTTCTAAAGTAGATTTACATTTTCAATAAATTATGTGTTTCACTCTAAGTTCTACCTCAGTTCATCCTACTAACACAAAAATCCTATAAATTTAACACAAGGGTAAAGTAAAATCTTAACAAACAATTTTTCTCCTTTTCAAGTTCAAGAACTTGAAACTAAACCTAGATTTGTTGACTAGTCACATGGTCATCATCTTGAAATACTTCTTAATGACATAACACACACTGAAACAGCACTAAATGTTCCTTTGGAAAAGGTGTGAGTAAAACTGATTACCATAGCAATAAATGAAATAAACCAAAGGCTTATAATCCAAATATGTTTCTGCATCACTGCCGGGGAAATCAAATGTGTCTTCCATTTAATGAAGCAATGTCCCCTGATCGCACTACAACTTTCTCTTTTTAATTATCCCAAGAAAGTTGTGCTATTGCCAGCATTACGTTTTGTTTTATTTTTTGTATGACAGCACATTAGCAGCAAGTAAAAAAATTTAAAGTTCTGATTTTTTTTCCCCCCATTTTCTTGCCAAATGAAAAGGTCACTTCTGCTTTGTCTCTGGCTAATTCCCCTGCTGGACCACACCAGCTGCTGATCTGTCACCTGACAAAGTTGTTACAAAATGCTTACTGAATTTAATTGTAAATTAAATGTTTTAAAGCCTTACAGATTTGTTACCACTGTGAAACCAAAAGTGAAAACAGTGTTGCTCCATATAAACACAGAGGTAGCTCTTAGTCTTTCACGGATTTCTTTTTGTGTGTTTTCCTTCACAGCAACTCCTCACATTCAGAAGCTGATGACAGTGATGATTCGACAGCATGAGGTGTTGTTTCCTCCCTCCAAAGACCTTCTGCCTTCTCCTCCCTCTAAAAAGGCTGAGAGCAAGAAGAGCACACCCCGAAGCTTTGTTGGCTGGGAGTCTGCTGAGGTACCAAAAAAAAAACAACAACAACAAAACAAAACCAAATGTATATCTATATACATTAATATACAGTATATACAGTGGTATGAAAAAGTTTGGGCACCCCTGATCATTTTCAAGATTTTCCTTTATGGATCATTGGTTGTTCGGAACAGCAATTTTAATTAAATACATCATATAGCAAACAAACACAGTGATATTTAAGAAGTGAAATGAAGTTTATAGGATTTACAGAAAGTGTGCAATAATTACTTAAACAAAAGTAGGCAGGTGCATAAATTTGGGCACCCTAACAGAAAAATTACATCAATATCTAGTAGATCCTCCTTTTGCAGAAATAACAGCCTTTAAACGCTTCCTATAGCTTCCAATGAGGGTCTGGATTCTGGTTGAAGGTATTTTTGACCATTCTTCTTTACAAAACATCTCCAGTTCAGTCAGGTTTGATGGTTTCCGAGCATGGACAGCCCGCTTTAAAACAGACCACAGATTTTCAATGATATTCAGGTCTGGGGACTGAGATGGCCATTCCAGAACGTTGTACTTGTTCCTCTGCATGAATGCTTTGGTAGAATTTGAGCGG